TTTGACTGTTATTTTCACCAGTTGAAAATAAATAAAATCCCCAGATCTGTCCCTTTTTCTGACAACTAAACTATCAAATAATGATACATGACATTTTGATTTGACATATAAAAATATCAGATTCGGGTCTTTGAATTTTAAATTTCGAATTTTTGTGTAAAATCGTTCAGTTTTTTGCCGTTTTCTGCATTATTTTTGTATTTGTTATTATCGCAATCGGTTTTTTGGTTTTTTATTTAGTGTTCTGTGCCTTTGTGTTTCGGTGTTGCGTTTCAAACCTGGTTTTAGTGTGGATTTAAGTGTTTACTCTTTTTAGGAGTGTTTACTTTGGACTCTAATTTTTGGATTTTTGGATTTTAATAACTTAACTTCCTTTAAAGAAATTGAAAATAAATTTTTATTCTGAAATGTATATCACTTTTCTAAATACGACCCTGTCGTTTATCCCAGTTGACGGAATCGAAGTTTAGTAGGAATGTCAACGCTAACTGTCAATTCCACTTTCTATCGTGATTACGAATATTTAGTGCTCTCTGGCCGTTTGTTTTCAAAAAAAGGTAAGGAAACCAATAATAACCTATTCTGATGTAATTTTTGTTAATATTCAAAAGAGTAATACGCATGAACAACTCAATTAGGCTCTCCAAACCACGTGATTTTTCAATATGGCGACCGTGGAAAATTTGGCGTTTGTTTGTTTATCTTGAGTTTATCTGGAATATTTTCAAGCTAATTACAGTTTACCTTGTTATAATATACTTTTTGAGATGCAGAGTGAATGTTTAAAGACTTGAATGCAGGAAAATCGGGATCTGGGCGAACGGTTTTTTTGAAAAAATGTCCAGATGACATTTTAATCCACAGTTCACATTAATGAGCAAATGAAGGCCTACAAAAACTTAGATTCTTACGAATATTTCGAAAATGGCTTTATTTCAGACGCAGGAACAATGGTAGTGAAAAATTTTCACGTTTTAATTGGAAAATTTTAAAACAAAGGGCAATGAAAAAAGCCTGACATCATTCTTGTTACCTTGTTGAAACTACTTCTACCATCAACTTCAAGACCTGTTTGTGGCATTTTAAATTGGAAGAAACACTAATAAAGTCAATTAAATAAAAAAATAAACAGAGTTCATTCACAAAACAACCACAAAATGCACTTTAAAAAGCTTTTAATTACATACTCTCATATAAGGGATAATGCAATTTTGCCACAATGCACTTTTTGACAGGTCGTTGTAATGCCTAATTGAGGAATATTTGTTGTGGATATTTTTGATAGGCCTTCTTTAGGTAAACGATCATTATAATATTTTTGAGGTTATGATATCAAGGTCCACAATGTTGTCAAATTTATAACTTTTTAGTGAGTAAAAATTGGGACTGTACCCACATCTCTCGGTCGCTTTAAACCAATGTTTTCTCCTGAAATGGAACTCCAGCTGTCCCAACACTGCAAAGACTTGGATAATACATTTTACGGTTTAACAATTAAAGCTTTGCGTGAGCTTGTATTTGAGTTTGCTGGAAAAAACATCATCAATCATAGATTTAATAGGGAAACCAAAATGGCCGGAAAAGATTGGGTTAGGTCATATTCTAAAAGACATCATCTGAGCGCTCGAATTGCCGAAAAAACTAGTTTAGCTAGAGCATTTTTTGATAACCTGAAGAGAGTGATCGAGGGAAAACAGATATCTGCAACCCGTATATACAATATGGATGAATCTGGAATTTTGACAGTAGGTACCAAACAAAATGTACAAGGTGATGGCTCCAACCGGTAAAAAGGCAGTGAGTAAAATAGTTTCTTCTGAGAGGGGTCAACTATAATTACCGCTGTATGTTGCATGAGTGCGAGTGGAAAATATGTTCCACCTGCCCTAATATATCCTCGAAAACGAAAAAAAGATGAGTTACTCAATGGCGCTCCTGCAGGCACTTTACTCATGATATCGGATTCCGGATACATGAATAGTGACTTATTTTTGGAATGGCTTGATCATTTCAAACGGAATGAAAATCCAACACTTGAGGATGCTATACTCTTGATATTGGACAACCATTCGAGCCATATTAGCTTAGCTGCAATTCATAAATGCCGCGAGAATCGAATTTTACTATTGAGCCTACCACCACACAGCAGCCACCGCTTACAGCCGCTAGACAGGGGATTTTTTGGTCCCTTAAAGACAGTTTATGGACAAGAATGTGAAAAATGGCATGTGTCTCATCCAGGGCGGGCAATCACACAATTTCAAATAGCGGAATTGTTCGGCAATGCGTTTTCCAGAATGGCTTCTATCGAGAAGGCTGTCAATGCATTCAGAGCATGTGGCATTTGGCCATACAATCCGGATATTTTCTCCCCTGAAGATTTTGCACCTGCAAGTTTGACTGACAGACCACGGCCAGTTACTGCTGAACCAACTTTAGATGATTCATCAAGCATTGACTCAGATGAAGATCTACCGCTAGTTTGTTGCGTGTCAACCAAAATGGGGCCTCTACGTCTATGTAGACAAATTCAGTCCACATCAACCAAAATGAGCTAGCCTCTACGTCTAAGGTACAAAATTCAGACCCCATCAACAAAAGCGGGCTAGCCTCTACTACTAAGAAGAAAATATTGGTCGCTCCTATTGAGTCACCGGCTAAATCTTCTATGGCTTCTACACCCATAAAAATAATCTCTCAGGTGATCTTAACCTTCGTCTTCCCACGTCAAAAAAAATTACGTAGATTCCCACGTGGGGTACATTCGCACCCCATGATAAAAATGATACTTCTGATAATTAAACATGATTTTATTTATACTAAATAGTTATGATAGTAAAATCAACATATAGAGTACAGTTAGCGAGAAAAAATAGTTAGGAAATGGGTTTTTTTCGACCAATGCGTGCCATCTTTCGATTTATAAATCATTTTTCCGCCTTCTACTTCCCGTAAACTTTCGTTCTCTTCCTGCTTCACAGATACTGCTTCATTATCGTGATTCCTAAATTTTGCAGGTTAGAAATCTATTTCCAACCTGCAAATATCCTGCAAGGTGACTACTTGATAGAGAAGCCTCAGATTCCCACGTGGGGTACGTCATTGGATACATGTGCCCCACGCTATGCAAAAATTATTATTTCTAAAAAATAAATAAATAGAAAATTTTTGATGATCACTAATTATGTGCAAAGCCCTTACTGACACAAAATAAAATTAGCCCCAAAAAATATGCACTTTTTGGGAAAATATGCTAGAAAAAGTGTTTCCTGGGGTACATTTGTACCCCACCCGGGAAGACGAAGGTTAAAATTAAACTGCCAACCGGTTACAATTATTCCTGAGCCTCAAAAAAGTCAACCGTCAACTTCTGAGTCGGCATCTAATAATTCGACATCTGAAACCAAATCACGCTCATCTTTTCTAGTTTCTCCACAAGACATAAAACCTTAGCCTAAAGCAGACGCTAATGTTAGAAAGGTTAGAAAGTCTAAAAAATCTGAAATCCTAACTGAATCACCCTACAAGCAGGAGTTGGAAGGACTTAAGTTGGAAAAAGAGATGGCTGAAAAAGCTAAAGCAGTTAAAGCAGTTAAGCGGAAGATAGCCTGCGAGAAAACTATATCACAAAAAATATTAAAGAGAGACACAGGAAAAAAATTTCGCTGTCCAAGATGTAACGAGTTGTTTCAACATCCGCCAGATACAGATTGGATCCAGTGCAACATTTATTTGTGATAAGTGTGACAGTGACTCCGACTAGGTTATGATTTTTTTAAAGTGCGTACTCTTATACGTCTTCGTACGTACTCTTGGACTATGTAGGGCCTAAGAGTACGCATTTTCATTGTTTGAAAAAAATCTGTATTTTGTAAAATGTTGCTGTTTTTGATATAAAATATTTCCTGGTTATAATTAATACAATAAAGAAACTGTCTGAAACAATATAGTTGGCTTATTTGTCTATTTGCTTAATCTGTGACGTCAAACTCAATCAGTGCGTACACTTGCCCGACCTTACCATATTTAAAATACCAACTTTTCCAATATAGTTGTTGTATATTGTTGGTATTTATCCTGTGCAGTCCCGGAGTTCAGATAATCTGTGGTTCAGACTCAGTGACAATTGACTGAAAACAGTTTTATCTGCGCCAACTCCTTCGAAGGTTCTAGATCGATAAGTCATTTCTTTGGATGCCGACAAGCTATTTCATTTCAACAAGATATCGATAATACCATTGTATTAATACTTACCTTACTGACGACTGCCAAGAGGCGGAAATGTTCCTATCCACAAAATGTGATATCATACTTCCACCTTTAAAAGGTATTTATGGGAAACTAGAAGAAGGTCTGAAGAAATCCAAAATATGGAACTGTCGAACTTGAAGATTCCAATACTTAAACCAGATTTGAAATATAATATAAAATCCTCGTGATAAAATTATTCATGCAAAATCCTCTCTGGATAATTTTACCTATATATCGTCATGTCATTTTTTATTATTCGGTATAAACATCAATAAGGTCGTAACATATTTATTTATGGGCACCGAAACGCAACATTTAACCCTGGTAGTCGGGACCTGTTGATCTCTGGATGTGTCGGTAATAAATTCCCTTTACTGCTTACGGGACGTGAGTGCGGATGGGCTAATATAAAAGATAAATATACTCACAACGAGACTTTTATTGTACAACTTTTGTTTTTATTTTATTTTTTTGATGGATTATGACTTAAACGGTTCGGCTAAGGACGAACTTGGGTCTTGGAAATGGATTATGCTCACATCAAACGATAACTTGTAATAAATATTGACTTTATATTTAACCCTTTGGTTAATATTATTTACATTGCATGTTAATGTATTTAAACAAGCTTATAGTGGTTTTAAATTTCATTTAGGTTATTGACTGTAATATAAAACCATCATCATATTATTTAATGCTTCAACGATAAAAAAAATTGGACATTTGTAAGCTATGTATCACACAAAAGAATGAAAAGACTTTCCAACCTGAAGCCCATTCATAAAAAGCAACCCATTTGTCATGATGGTAAGCTACCAGTCATGCAGTAGTCAGATACAAAAGGGTTAAAAACACCGACGACGGTGCAAGTCATTCAAAAGAGACCACCTGATGTGACTCTTTTTCTTACAATATAATTTTGTATTTGTATATAAGGCGATGTCTTTATGGTTTAATTTACAAGCCAAATTTTTAACTGCCCGACAAAAAAAAACAATAAGTTTCAGAGAAAGAAGAAAAATAAACTGCGGGGGACGCGGCAGAAGTTGTAAAATAAAGAAAAAAAAAAACAAACTCGCTGATAATTTGAATATGTGCCCGAGCGGACTGAATCTCGGTGGCTACAAGATGTTTTTATCGTCGCTAAAGTCTTTTCTCGAATTTCGCGAAGGGACCGTCCAGGAGGGTAGAAACCTCCCCATAAAACAGTGGCGTCTACATTTTGTCTTTAACTTTCTGATATTAGAGGGAATTTTGAATTCATTAGAATTTAAGCGTGATTCATAGACTTACCGGTACAATGACGTCACCTAACCGACAACGACACGTCAAATAATGGCATATAATATTGACAGTTGAGTTGAAGAGGGCGCTTCTGTACTTGGAGCTATTTAAATTTTGGCGCGTGAATATTCGATTGTAATTTTAACCTTAAAGGTTAATTCTGATGTGTGGTTTCAAGACAAACTGACGTTGACACTTTTAAAAATATTCTCTAAGGGCCACTGAACGCTTTGGAAGATATTTTAACTTATTTATTGTCCATTGTTCATATGTAGTCATCTTTCCTTCTACTCAATTTCAACGGTTTAAAACTATTGACATTTACCGCCAAAATTTGAAGCACTCCAAAATTCTGGGGAACTTAACTGGATATTTCCTGCCATTCTCGAGAAATCTTGACGTACGACGTAGCGTGGACTGCGTGGAGGTGTAGTGTGAATACGACCATTGCTTTCTAATCTGAGAATATTTGACCTGTTGTTGACGGTAGGTACGGTGACGTGACGGTGCTGGTACGTACAGTATGAAACGCACCTTACAGTCAAAGGTTCACTATGCACATGATTGCAATTTTTGGGAAATTTGCCCGAGTGCACGTAGTGCACGAGTGCCTTTTTCAGTTAAAAATGCATGAGTGCAAATTTGTCGAAAATTATAAATATATTTCCATTGCACGAGTTGTATTTAATGAGAGAATTTCATAAATCAAAAATTTAAATTTTTTGTCAAAAAATGTCAAAACACCAGTTTTCGCACCAGTTAGTATGCAATTATCTGATAATTTGCACTAGTGCAAATTATCGCGTAATTACAATCTGATTGGTTCAAATCAACAATCAAAACATGTCAATTTATTGTTGGAATACCAGTTTTGACAGATGTATGAAATTCTCTGGTTAATTTTTAAGCACGAATGGTATTTAGGGAGAATATTTCACGAATTTTATAAAAATTATGGAATAAAATACTTTTACATGAGCAATTTTGCGGTAACATTCCAGAGAACTTTAACTGTAATGCTCTTTATTTTCCTCTCCGTTCCTTTTTCTCAAATTAAAGGCCCAGCTTTTCAGGATAGATGCAAGTTCGGATATTGGAGTATCTTGATCAAAAGTGTACTTTTTCGCTGCAAAATGACATAAACTGCCTCCAAATATTGTTTTTAGATTTCACTGTGTTTTTTTGGTTCAACTTTCACTATACTTTCGTCGATTTCCTCATCTTTCACTTCACCAAACCGATTCATTTTGATTTTTATTGGCTTTTGCTTTCGACAAGTACACAAAATACTTGTATTTCTATGGTTAATATTGATTCCCGTCTCTAATTTACAATACAAACAATAATTTTTTTGTGTCGTCAAAATGTTAAATTGACTCGTATAGGTGATAATTTCACGTTGCCTAGACAACGTTGAATTTCCGCTGTAATTTTTCGATTTGTCACTTTTTGTGTTTGTATGAGTTTGGTATGCTTTCGCTTATATTTTTTTTTTTTTTTTTACGGATATGCGCACTCGCAAGGAAATGTCCTATCACGCTCGAGAAGCGGCAAGTGCGCGGAAATGTCGGTGTATGTTGGTCTTGAAACGGTTCAGGTTGTAACCTGCAAGGAAAACCGTCGCAGGGAGTTTATTCCACTGCGATGCTGTTCTCCAGAGATATGAATTCTGATATAATGAGGTTCTTGGTGCCTCTAGTTTGACAGTGAATTCATGGTTACCGTCTGTTTGACGGGTTCGCCTGGTAGGTGCTACTCTCGGTGGAATCATACGTGCCAACTCTTCAGAGCATTTTCCGTGATAGTACCTGTAGAAGAGAGATAAATCGCCCACACATCTGCGATGTTCGAGACCATCCAAGTTACGAGTAAGTGCGGGGTCATTGATCAGCTTGATAGCTCGTTTTTGCACGGTATTCAAAAGCATTAAGGTATGTTTGGGTGCTGCACTCCATATATGTGAGCAGTACTCCATAGTTGGTCGAATCTGGGCTTTGTAGAGTGTCAGCAATTGGCTTGGTGTGTACAAATGTCTTGTACGAAATAGCACCCCCAGCTTTTGGGAGGCCCTTTTAGCAATATCTGCCACGTGACTGTGCCAAGACATGTTGGTCTCTGCAGTAACCCCCAAGATGTTCAACTGAGTCTGTAATGTGACAGCACTTCCAGATAGCATGATGTTTGGCTCACCGGTGTTGGTCTTTTTTGAAAACAGAGCTGCTTATATTATATTGCTCTGACGTGAGCTAATAAGCTCGAAACCGGTATGTAATTGTAAGATTTTGCTCAATGTTACGTCAGATTACCCTCTTGAAATTTCAGTCCAAGATTGCTCCGCCGCTGTTTCTGTACATGTAGATTAAAATCCGCGTTGGGAGCTAAATGCTCGTTCTGTGCCCCTCGCCGCCCCATTCTCGCATAAATCTCATGCAGGCCGCCCTCCCACCACGATAATATTTAACTAAATTCTTGCCCTATATATAAATCGAAAACCGCCGGCGCTGGAAAATGCAAGCAAACTGCGGGTACGATTTTTTCTTAATATCCTCTGCGTTTGACGGAGACCTAACAAGACAATAAATAAGTTTCTTTTTTAAATGTGAAATTTTCAATTTGTCGAAAATGGCACCGTTTAAAAAAACAATGCCGGCTGGCTTACAAATGTTAACATCGTATAAATACACGGTACCGGTCGGACGATTGTTTTTCACGCTGCGTTCCCACCGCGGTACTGCCTCGAACAATGGCTGCACCTAGTCAACCATTGTTTCCACCAGGTCCGGAGGGTGTCATTAAAATAATAACTGCAATTTTCCATTTTTATTGTTCCTGTGTTTTTTTTTTACATAAAAATTTATCGAGGTAATCGTGATTGTAAATGGCCGGTCGATGAATGTTTGAGGTCACCAATCCAATGGCTATAATTAAAATTCTGTTGCAAAGAAGAAATATAATATTTCGCTATGGATTCGATTCTCGAAAGTTTAATAAATTCGGATAGGTATAGCAGAAGACAGACAGAACGCCCGGGAAGGGATGAAACTACGGTTCTGATATTAAATTTCACCTGGTGACAGATGGCGATGTGCTTTATCACTCACGAATAGGAAACACGTCAAACTTTATTAATAATTTCCAGTTTTCCTTGTGACGCTTTTATTCGTTGTAGTTTTGGCTTTGCGAATATCTGTGGGTTTCATTCGACGAAATCACTTTTTAATATCCATACTTATATATTTATTGATTGTAATAATATTGACCTACTTTTTGAATTTTGTAGAGAATATTATGTCGTCGCCCAAGCTTTTTTTGATTTTCCGGTGGTCTGGGTTAGAACCATATCGTTGATTGAGTTACCACCAATATATTAACACAGATGGACATTACAGTGAACAAAATTTTGTGTCGCCAGCACCTAGGAGAGCGATCAACCTCCGGTGTATCCCCTCCAAGTAGGTTGCCAAATTGTTGCGGAATGATATTTTATCCTGTTATTCAAAAAATTGAAGCTTCAAGCTTCATCAAGACTAAAAACGACGGTTTTGTGAAACAGGTGGAATACGCGCTGAAATCGTTTGACATGTCAACGCGCCCATTGAACTTACATGAGTAAGAGGCAGATAGATAGATAAACAAGTTTCACATGTGCGCATTTTTTCATTATTTTGGCCAAGTGAATGAAGGGTTCAGAGAGGAAGGCGCGTCTTGTTTACACCTCTAATGATTCCCACCATGACCCCCCTGGAGCAACTCACGTTTCCTGACCCATGGGGGTCTTGTCATCACAATAAACATCAGTTTATGAATGAGTTGCGGTGCCTATCCGTGTTAAGATGTCATTGGTAACCACCACTACCTAGTCCAAAATCTTGGAATTTTTCGTAGCCATATTTATCAACATACATTTAGAGTTGATTTGTATCGAGTGAATATGTAGGTATTGGGTAGTGAAAATACTCAAAATTTTAAATTTGTGAACCTCACATACTATTTGGATGTCCGCGATCGCATTTCCACAGGCTACTAGATCTGTTGGTGCTCTCTCTCTTGTACCTATTCCTTAATCAGGACATTTTCCTTTCTCGCTATACACTTGTTTTCTATTTGTCCCTCAAATAATAAGCTGCAATAACTAGTATTTGGGATATCTCTCTGATCTAACCGCTTTTCCTCTTTTTCTACGTTCAGTAGAAGTTTTCTTTCTTGTTTCGTCCTGAAGTATGAGTGGAAAAAGGTAAAGTGATAGAGTTGTTAATGACAGACCTTAGACAGTGAAAGATTCAATACTAATAAGAAATAAAATATTCTTAAAACGAACAGGCTTGCCTTATATAGACAAACTCCCAGCTTTATGCGATGTACCGGCTGATTCTCTATATTTTCCAAGTACACCTATCTCACCTGTTTGAAAAGATACCCAGATGTGTCAAGTGTGAAAGTTGTAGTTAATAACAGAAAGTGTTCAATGACGTTAGTTACAAGTATACAGAATTTGTCACAAAAGTATGGCGAAGCATATTATA